ATTTGTTTCATAAACGAATTTTGAGCAGATTTAATCTGTTTTCACCTTAGAATTTCGTATCAGACTTTGCAGTTATAGTCGTGAGCAGTTATGTCATATATTTAAAACCTTATAACCATATATATATATATTGAAGGATGACACTAGCGGTAATAATCGTAAACCATCATCAAAGTGAATCGAACACCAATAATTCCCAGTATGATATTGATTTAAACACTAACGTGGATCAAACATCTATGATCAATATCAGATTTACTTAGTTTCATTGTTTTGTTTGACAAATATAACTTACATACTTACTTGCTTACTTACGCCTGTTACTTCTCATGAAGGATCATTTAATCTTGACAACTGAGCACATTCTCCTGAACACATGGAAAGATATACTTAATAGAGAATGTTGAATTGAACTATTTTAAAATTTTTTAGTTTATAAAATATTTTCATAGTAGAAAAACTAATATTTGAATGAAGAATATTCTTTTTGATCAATTCTCCTCAGGTTCTACAATTCATATATCCGAAAAAATGACCAGGTTAAGGATAAAGTACATCGTTTAAAGTTAAAACGTATGAATTTAGGATTGTGATAAACAAAATAGAATAAAATTGTTAATAATGATATGACTCATATAGAATGTTAACTTGAATCTACTTATATGTTAAGTGAAAATGTTAAGATCATGATCAGAATAAATATGGGTCAAATAGGGTGAGAGAGAAATAATAGTGCAATTACAATTCGATCAAATGTTTAGTGGAAGACTATATTGTATGAAAAATTATCAGTAAAACATATTAATCTTTCAATGCCGGAGAACTATGATTAGTGTTTTCTACGTGCCCAATAGTGACATCAAGGCTAAAAGATAAATTACCTAGAATTACTTAGTCTTTTAATATGATGAGAATCTTTAAACGATTTTTCATCAAATTTTATTTCCTTACTAATAATTCATTCATATTTTAATTTTAAGTAGATTCTCTTCGAGAATAGTTAAATGAACTTTGTGTTGATATAAGACAATAGTAACCAAGATTTATATTATTCAGTTATTAAAAATATAAATATCAATAATATTGTGTAACTTCAAACAATATAAGTGTTATTTACTGTTCTTTATGATGTTAACTTAGAACTAATCAATATTTCCAAGTTTGTTTGTTACAATTATATTATAAAGGAAGGCGTAGGACAGAGTGGGTTGGAGAATGCTGGTCGGCATCCTATGCTCCATTGGAAGTAACAGGCGTAAGTAAGTAAGTAAATGATTAATTTGATAATTATTGATTGGAAATAATAGTCGAGTAACAATATACTTCCGGTGACCATTATATACATATAGTAAAAACATTTAACTTTTCATTGTAGATAATTTTCTATAGTCTATAATCTATACAGCATACGTTGATCAGCATACAGTTAGTTCTATGGATTATAACAAATTAAAGTGAAATTTTATATAATTTATGATTTTGTGTATTTTGTTTAAAAACTACGATGAACTGGACTATGAACCAATGTTAAGTAATTAGCAATATAAAGATATACATAAAAAGTAAATGAATGATATATATCACCAGTGTGCTTTTATGTCATATATTAATTTCAAGACAATTATATAAAGATCTGATATTTATGCGGTATAACATTCATAATACAATAGACAATACTTAATGTGATATAATTAATTATTGAAAGACTGAAGTTTTCCTAAACACAAGTTTTTGTCAGTGTAACAAGTTAGGATTCATCATTTTCTTTCTAATCGAGCTCCACGAAAGTGACTTAATACAGGATAAAAGTGTTTTAAACTTCTATATCATACAACCTGATTGATAATGAAATATTGATTTATAATTAATGACCGAATATAAAAGTATCATTTTGTCAGCTTCATATACGATGTTTTTCATCTTAAAAGTAGCACATACAGCAATCAAATATTCTTAATAAGACATTCTACTCAGTATAAAATCGAATAATTTCTTAGTGTATACACAATTTGTTAAACATTCGTCATTAAAAATAAAACAATAAATCCAATGGTATCAATCTATGTAAATATTACAGAGTATCTAATACTCTTGATTTAATCAACAGTATACGATGAAGTCATTTTAATTCTCATAGATAGTACTATGTATTTTTTATTCTACTTCTTTGAAATTTTGTCCTCACATTCGGACATTTATTTTGTCAGTATGGGGGTTGTGGAGGTTAATATATTTTCGATTGAGATCATGAACCGATTGATGTTTAGACCACCATTGAAAACCTGGAAGCACTGGACGGCCGTTCCGCCCTATTGTGAGACTCCTCAGCAGTGCGCATCCACGATCCCGTTCATGGAATTCGAACCCAGGGCCTTCAGACTCGCGCGCGAACGCTTAACCTACTGGATCACTAAGCCAGGTTTTCAATGGTGGTCTAACATCAATCGGTTCATGATCTCAATTAAAAACATAATAATCTCCACAACCCCTATACTGATAATTATCATATGCTCACGAGTGACTAGCTTCCTGAGGGAATCCTCGGAGTTCTAATGAGAAGCCGTGACCAGTGGAGCTAGTCTCTGTCGGGTAGAGACAGGCATCTACCTCAGTACAGTGGAAGATAGTCGCGCAATCACGTGGATTGGTTGAAGTTAGACATTAACACCAGCGTTCGCGCGTGAGCCTGAAAACCCTGGGTTCGAATCCCATGAAGGGGATCGTGGATTCGCACTGCTGGGGAGTCCCACAATAGGACGAAACGGCCGTCCAGTGCTTTCAGGTTTTAAATGGTGGTCTAACATCAATCGATTCATGATCTCAATCAAAAAAGTATTTATTTTGTGTTGTATTATACTTGACTTTATTACTATTTAGGGAAAAATCAATTAAAGTTTCAACATTTTAGGCATCATTCAAAACTGATAATTTACGTAACAAATTACACAATCACACATAAATCATGAAAATATGTAAAAAAAGGTTATTTAATTCAATAAAGATAGTAATCAAATGGTTTACACGGTTTCGTATATCACAAAATTTTAGTTCTAGTGCTAATACTTTAAGTTTTTCTTTATTTAATTGAGTACCAGAAAAATTATACACATAACTTTTTGGTTCAATAGGAAATTTATCGTCAACTGGTTAATTTTTTAAGCTTTTGAGAAGTTGAATGTATCTTGTTTGATGTTTCTTTAGTTAACTTTATGATGCACTTCATGAACTGGGACTTAAGATTTTGTGTTTATTCATCAACTACAAATTTTCTACGAGCAATATTTACTTCTATCTCTGTCAAGTCATTATTCAATGTGTCAATTTTATTAAGTACATAGGGTTTAAGTGTTTTTCTGTTGGAATGAACGTGAATACGGCGTAATAACATGATTCAATACAGTTTTTTTATAAATCCCAATGATGATTTTGTTTCTGTGAACTTTGCATTATACAATAGGAGCTCATTGAATGCCTTCAACGCAGTGGGTTGATCAAAAGATTTTAATCACTGAAAAATTCACATTATAATAAAACATAATTAAATGTTCATATAATTGTGTTTTAATAATCAAATGTTTTATAAAATGATAAAAGAAAAAAAATACATAAAAATTTTATTAAATAAATAAACAAACCTATGAGAATAGTTTCACAGTATTTGGGCACCTAGTTGATGTGAGACATTAAAGAGGAAATATATATTTCCTTGAAAAAGTTTGGACTAGAGTACCAGGCAAAACGTTTAATTTACTTCAAATTCTTTCGCTGAGACTTTACAAATACATTCTTCCTCTCTAAACCTATGACAATTCTAATTTAAACAAAAGTGTACCATAGAGATAAATAACCACTTCACTTCTACCTGAAGTTGATGCTGATGATATTGTTCAAAAGAATGATGAAAGCTTCGCGATCAAATTATCAAATTCAGAGAACAAAACTCCATCAAAATCTAATAAGGTTAAATAATATACGATTAATCCACTTTTTTTTTCTTTCCTGAAATAAATTTCTAAAAAAACCATACTTAGATTAGTCATCTGTTAAGGATCCAGTATGTGAATAGATTTGATTTTATTCCAACTACAAATGGTTAATAATACAAAGCTTTTTTCACTTTGATTCACATTCTCATAAAGTTAATGGTCATTCAATGTTCATGTGATAAGTTTGCTATTTTATTTGTAAAAAAATCAAGTTTTGGTGGAATACTGAGGAATTTTGAAATTTTATTGATATTATAAAGAGTATATTTACAATGTATCGATAGTTCCATATGTAATAATTGACTTTCGCTATATCTCTTTATCGAAAACTTTAATCCTAGTTAAATATGATTGTTAACTTAGTTGACTGTATCATGTAAAGTTGTGCTTATAATAACATTACTATTTGTAAATTTAGGCTCATTGCAATGAATAAAACTTGTATGAATAGAGTTAAATTCATTTCGTGTTCTACTGGGTTCGAGTCCCGGAGTGAACATTAACTCTGAGATACAGGAACCTCTAACTGATGAGTCCGAAATATGACGAAACGCATGTCAAAGATTCCAGTGATAGTCGTCATCCATCTTTGCTTATAAAGCATGAATAATGTTAGTTCATAGACTTTTTTGCTCTTACTTTGTTCAAGTTTACTGAGCACTTTATGAATTTTATTTACAGTGGTAGGTTCAACTTTTTCAATGAGGTAACTACTGGTTAAATCATATTGTAAAGGATGCTTTTATTAGACATTTAGAACTTTCAGTTTCCAATCATAATATCCGATTCTTTTCAGTAACTTATTACTCATCGATTAGTGTACGTCCTTGGTCTCATACCAGTAGATAGAGACAATAAAATTATACAAATGAGAAATCTAGAGGCAAGGGATCAATTATTCTTCATAGAAATAGTGTTATATTTACTGAGGCAAAAGGGTGCTCATTTGATCTGCTATACATGTCTTACACACATTCATCATATACCTAAAACTACACTTATTATTGTTATATTATGTCTAACCAAGAGGTTTCTTTAGATGAGGTCATTAAGAATATCAGTAATCATGGAAAATTTCAGACTGTCCGAGTTATTACGCAGTCGTGTAAGTAAGATTTACCATTTTACACTAATAGTTGATTTGTGGAAGCTGTAGTTCGTAGTAGATTTATCAATGACATATTTGTAAAAAGTGAGCACCTGTTTGTCAAAGTATTAGTAGTGCTGAATTTTCAGAAGTTAGAAAACTAAACAATAATTAATATAATACCAGATATATAATTCTCAAGTTTGTCCATAAATATGCAGTTGAAAATAGCAAGAACAAAGATTCTAGCAGAATAGCATGAATTCATTTTATTTCTCGTCAGCTGCTTACAACCTGTGATATTTAAAAATCATAATTACATAATGGGTTTAAATTGCTTACTGAATATTGTAAATATATACCTAATGTGAAAGAATATTCTACAAGATTAATTGTGACAACAGTTCAAAAGTGGGTTAGAAACAATTGATTACATAATGAATAACATTGATAGGAATATAGTGAGTAGAGTTCAGTTGAAAGATTATTAATTTGAAAGATTGTTGAATAAAATCAATGATGTAATAAATGTGAAAGAAAAAAAGAAAAAAATTTTTTAAGGTGCAGTGAAGGAATATTTGTCACCAGGGTAAGGAAAGATTAACCACTGTCTCCTTTTGAATACATAGGTCAGGTTTTTGACGCCTGATGGCAATGGCTTCAGCAAAGTTTAGCAGCCGGATAACTTAATTCTCTATAAAACAACATGTTCAATGACTCAATCAAAGATCGACAAGCAACCCTTTCAGGTTACCGCCAACTGTATTTATAAATTTACGTGTACCTGCCAAAGCAGCTACATCGGCCGAACTGAAAGGAGAGCATATCTTAGATTCTTTGAACATGTTCCAAAAAGTCTTAGAACAAGGGGAAGAAGGCTCTGAACAGTGCAATCACCAAACATCTTGATACAGGACATCAGGTAGATACCCTACAATCGTTTAGGGGGATTAGTAAGCAGCCAAACTCTAGCCTTCTGAAGTTTGCTGAAGCCATTGCCATCAGGCGTCAAAAACCTGACCTATGTATTCAAAAGGAGACGGTGGTTAATCTTTCCTTACCCTGGTGACAAATATTCCTTCACTGCACCTTAAAAATTTTTTTTCTTTTTTTCTTTCACATTTATTACATCATTGATTTTATTCAACAATCTTTCAAATTAATAATCTTTCAACTGAACTCTACTCACTATATTCCTATCAATGTTATTCATTATGTAATCAATTGTTTCTAACCCACTTTTGAACTGTTGTCACAATTAATCTTGTAGAATATTCTTTCACATTAGGTATATATTTACAATATTCAGTAAGCAATTTAAACCCATTATGTAATTATGATTTTTAAATATCACAGGTTGTAAGCAGCTGACGAGAAATAAAATGAATTCATGCTATTCTGCTAGAATCTTTGTTCTTGCTCTTTTCAAAATGATAAAAGGAACTATGTGTATGAAATATGCAGTTGAATTATATTACCAGCTTTAAACTTATATGTTTCAGATATTCACTGAATAAATATACGACAGAATCAAATGATAATTAAAAGAACCCATTGTATCATATAATAAGAATCAAGATAATTCAGCGAAAAAATTTTTCTACCTTTAAAGTAATCTACACAGTCCTTCTATAGACATATATTTTCCATATATAACTATATATATGAATCTACAGCTTAAGTAAATAATTTCGTCAAAAAAGAAAATTTTCTTCGCTGAATTCTCCTTTTCTTATTCAGTGATATTATGGGTTATTTTAACTATCTAAAGGAATTGGATCGAAGGAAAGTCAAATCAATATTTCATGAACTGCTAAGGCATTGGCAATCCACGAAATGAAGCCTGAATTTTGCATGCAGAAACGATTCGTCTTATCTATCATCCTTCCTCGATCCTAATTCCTTTTATTGGTAATGTTTGGTTTTTTTCTTTTTTCTTAATTCTTATTTGATTATTATTGATTTTTTAAATTATTGTTTAGCAGTCTTAAACTCTAATCCGTTATTATGATTAATACCCTCATACAAGTTTTCTTGATTATTATTCAGTTTTTATATTTGTCGGTTTTCTTCATATCTGTTAACTGGACAATTATCTGACCCGTAAATTACATTCATCTTTATATATTTTTCATAGCCCTTGATTGTTGCGTAACCTCATTTGATAATAAGAGTCTCGAATCAATTTATGCTGCAAACTTTTCTATCCTTTTCTAGACATATTTTCCATATAACTATAAATATAAATGTAAAGCTTAAGTAAATGAATAAGAGCTTTCGTGTAAATTTGATCGAATAGTTTCAGAGTATCTGAACGTCGAGATTTTACAAATACATTCTTCCTCTTTAAGTAAATGATTTCGTCAAAAGAATCAAATAAGTGGTTATAATCGGAGAATGGTTTTTGTGGAGGTTGTAGTAATTTAATAATTGAATCCATAAGTCAATTGAAGATAAAACACCATGGAAAACCTTGAAGCACTGGGCGGCCATCTCGTCGTAGTATGGGACTCCTCAACAGTGCGCATCCACCATCCCGCCTCCCCCAAAGAGATTAGAAACCAGGACCTATCAGCCTCGCGCGCAAACACTAAACCAGTAGACCATTGAACTGGCCGGCATCCAATTGTGTTAATATCTAATTTCAAATAATTCACGAAATTGAGTGACACATCCATCATTGTCATCAGTGAGTTACTGTCTCACAATTGACTAGGTTGGACTCCAGTGGCCACTTCTTCTCACTAGAACTCGAAAAAATATCTCTTTAGACCGTCACTAGTGAGCGTATGATGAATATAATCAGAAAAGTGTTTTTGTGGATATTATATTAATTTTAATAATTGTGATCATGAATCAAATGAAGCTAGACCACCATAGAAAACCTGGAAACATTGAACATCCGTTTCATCTTATTCTATTAAAGAATATTCAGTGGTTTCCATATTGTTCATTGAATCATTTTTATTAGAAAAAAATTATGTTTAAATTATAAACTAACTGAACTGAAGCATTTTATGTTAATTTATTTATATAAAATTAATAATGACATAATTGTGATTAATTTACTTATTCAGTATAGTTGCAAACACTTTTACTCAACAAAAAAAAACAACAAACATATATAATTGTTTTATTCTAATAACCTGGTTAAAATATGCAACAACACAGTCTATGACTAATATGAATAACTATTTGAATAAAACATAATATCATTGTCCAACCTAATTTTATAAACTTCTTTTTGTATATATATATATATATATTTACATTTCAGTATACAGTTTTTCAACTGAAATACAAACATGCGTAGGTGTTTGTTTTTTTAAGATTAACTAATGTTTATACTCAGCAACAAGAAAAAGTAGAAAAGAAAATCATTGATTACACTTCTCATAAATTTTATAAATTTCTCTGTATAACGGAATATTTATCATTGAAATAAATACTATCTACATTGTAATATTCTCGTTTGTGATGTACAGTCAGTAGCGTATCATCATCATCATCATCATCATCATCATCATCATCATCATCATCATCATCATCATCATCATCATCATCATCATCATCATCATCATCATCATCATCATCATCATCATCATCATCATCATCATCATCATCATCATCATCATCATCATCATCATCATCATCATCATCATCATCATCATCATCATCATCATCATCATCATCATCATCATCATCATCATCATCATCATCATCATCATCATCATCATCATCATCATCATCATCATCATCATCATCATCATCATCATCATCATCATCATCATCATCATCATCATCATCATCATCATCATCATCATCATCATCATCATCATCATCATCATCATCATCATCATCATCATCATCATCATCATCATCATCATCATCATCATCATCATCATCATCATCATCATCATCATCATCATCATCATCATCATCATCATCATCATCATCATCATCATCATCATCATCATCATCATCATCATCATCATCATCATCATCATCATCATCATCATCATCATCATCATCATCATCATCATCATCATCATCATCATCATCATCATCATCATCATCATCATCATCATCATCATCATCATCATCATCATCATCATCATCATCATCATCATCATCATCATCATCATCATCATCATCATCATCATCATCATCATCATCATCATCATCATCATCATCATCATCATCATCATCATCATCATCATCATCATCATCATCATCATCATCATCATCATCATCATCATCATCATCATCATCATCATCATCATCATCATCATCATCATCATCATCATCATCATCATCATCATCATCATCATCATCATCATCATCATCATCATCATCATCATCATCATCATCATCATCATCATCATCATCATCATCATCATCATCATCATCATCATCATCATCATCATCATCATCATCATCATCATCATCATCATCATCATCATCATCATCATCATCATCATCATCATCATCATCATCATCATCATCATCATCATCATCATCATCATCATCATCATCATCATCATCATCATCATCATCATTTGAAGAAGAAACACAATTATATTTTCTAGCTATCACTGTCAATTAGCTTTAATCAATCATCGCTACGAACCACAAAAACCAGAATTGTGACTGGTTTGCACACAAAAAGTGAAATCAGTAAAGGCAACAAAAACCAGGAAACATTTGTGGATACTCGAAAAAAAATAATACTAGTTACCATTGAGTTGGTTAGCTAAAGCAAAATTACAGCTTTTACTATACTAATCACAATAAAAATAATAGACCAAGCAGTGGATGACCGTTTCGTCCTAGTGTGAGACTCTTAAACAGTGCGTGTCCATGATTCCACAAGTGGGACTCAAACGTAGACCTTTTGTCTCGAACGCTGCTTCCGGGTCTGGCATAGATCGAGTCATAAATTCAACTATTAAAACAGCTTATTGTTGAATCATTGGTGAAGTGACCATGAATTTCAAATATCAAATGAAAATTATATGGTGGTTTAATGAATAATCAACATTAGTGAAAAACAGTCCGTTGGACAAAATATAAAGAAGATTAAAAAGAAACGACTAGGTGGTTCTAACACTTTAAACATTTAGAAGAGAGGTTATGATTCTGGTAAAGTGAGTATCTAAGTATGCCAATTTAAAACAAAATGTTTAAGCTCATTTTAGTAAATGATTTCAATATCTAAATATTCCCCGCAACTTATCACATATTACTTGACCATAAATACAACTGTACACATCTATTAAATGCAATCTTCCTAAAGAAAACATTCTTCGTTAAACTATACCTAGACGTTTTTATGAGAAAGTATATTGTCAAATATCATTTTAAATTTCTGTCAATAGTAACACTTAGTTATATTTAAAGAAATTGTCAACAATTCAGCTATCAAATATTTCAATCCTTACTGACGTAGATATTCAATGGCATGTTAAACATTATTAGCAGTAGAATAAAACAAACAGCGAAATACAAATTTATTTCCTATTCAGTTAATCAATAACTTAGCCTTTAAAACAATTAATTGATGCATAAACCACTGTGTTAAATTTTCCATATAAAGTAGGAATAAGGGATTGATTCTCGGTTTTAGAAAAAAAACCAAGATATTATTATAAAATTACAATCACTTTACGATATGAAGGCAAAATACTCAATACATTATGATAAGTTGATTAGAAACAGACAAATCTGAAAGCTTAGAAACATTAATTGTCATAAATGGGAATTGACATATAACGTTTTATAGTGAGATTAGATGGTGGTTGGAGGTAGTCAACAGGAAACCCTGAACCCAGTTTTCGTGCTACTTGGCACTCGTCAGCAAGGTGTACCTGTAATCTTGAGGAAACTGGTGCTCCCTGGCTGATTCAATCTCGTGTCACCCAGCTTCACAGTCAGAGACGTTACCACTGAGTTATCTGAGCCGCGACTGACCTCCTGTAACACTGAGATGTAATCACAATTGACTGATTACTGGGTGGTGATCAATCAATTGTGAACGTTTTTATAGTATAGTGAACTTATATTCATTTAATTAATTAATATCAATATACCAGTATATTTCCAGACAGATAAGTTTTATAACCATAAAAAATGAAATTCATTTTCTTCATCTATACATGCCTATCGATTTTTATACTCAAAATTTTCTATCACGTTTATAAAATGACTTCAACTAAGAATTAAATGAAGATAATTTATGAGATATGTGAAATTTCATAAGTTATTTAATAACTTATATGTGTACACGCTAATAAAAATATGTTCAATTGACTCATGATCTAAAATATTGAAATTACTAAAAAGCTCCACAAAACCCCTTCTGATACTAATCAAAATATGTTCACAAGTGACTGGCTTCAAGATGTATATCCTGGAGTTCTAGTGAGAAGAAGTGACTAGTGGAGTTCAACCGGGTGTGTTGTGAGATAGTAACTCACTGATGACAATGGTGGATGTGTCACTCAATTTCGTGGATTAGTTGAAGTTAGACGTTACGACAATTGGATGCCGGCCAGTTCAATGGTCTAGTGGTTTAGTGTTCGCACGCGAGACCGACAGGTCCTAGTTTTGAATCTCGCTGAAGGTCCTAGTTTCGAATCTCGCTGAGGGGGGCGGGACGGTGGAGGCTCACTGCTGAAGAGTCCCACAATCAGATGAAATGGCCGTCCAGTGCTTCCAGGTTTTATATGGTTGTCTAGCTTCAATTGACTCATGATCTAAACTATTGAAAAATGCAATATTAATTTAAGCTAAGGAAATATCGATATTGTTTAAATTCACGTCTCTCTAAAATATCTTCACAATACAGTAGGGAATCAATGAAATATGTATTTTTATTGTGTAGTTGGTTAGGCTTCATTGAAAATACCCACCAATTATATATATATATATAGTTTATCGGAATTATGTGATATATTTGCACAATACAATTCGAACAATCTGATCACACAAATACTTGTTAAGATATAAGATCACAGGATAGACAGATATCATCCTCCATTTCGAAACATTTGATTAAGACTGGTCATAAGGTTGATATAAAGTCAACATTTATAATGTTATACAAAGCCTTCAAAAACTTGTACTAAAGTTTATTGAAGCCTTGGCTATACGGAAACAGAGACTACCTTTATGCGTCCAAAAACAATTTGTCCCCACCCATAACCTACTCTGGTACTACTGATTTATTATTCAGAGTGGTAATAACATTGTTTTCGTGTACTTTATTATTTCAATAGTTGAAATCATGAGTCAATTGAAGCTAGACAACCATGGAAAATCTGAAAGCATTAGACTGCCATTTCGTCCTGGTATGGGACTCCTCAGCAGTGTATATCTATGATCTCTCCTCGTGAGACTCAAACCCAGGATCTATCCGTCTCGCGCGCGAACACTTAATCACTAGACCACTGAGCTGGCCAACATCCAACTGTGTTGATTTCTAACTTCAAATAATCCATGAAATCGAGCCACCAGAATCAAGTTAAACAGAGAGTCATTCAAAATAAATATACAGACAATTTCAGGATAAAGGTCAATAATCACTAATCAAGATCAAATTCGACAGAACAAGGTACTAGTTAGATGTCGAGAAGTTCAAGTAAACTAATCTCACCCGAGGATGGTTCTAATGATGTTGTTCAGAATAATAATCAAACTTGCACGAAATTTATCGAGATTTATCAAAGGTATTGATTGCTTTAAGTTTAATTTATTATCAGAATGGGTTTTGTGGAGAGTTTTAGAAATTTCACAGGTTGAAATCATGAGCCAGTTGAAGCTAGACCACCATTGAAAACCTGGAAGCACTGGACGGCCGTTTCGTCCTGGTATGGGACTCCTCAGCAGTGCGCATCCACGATCCCGCACCACGCGAGGCTCGAACCCAGGACCTACTGGCTTCGCGCGCGAGCACTTTACCACTAGACCACTGAGCCGGCATCCAACCATGGTGGATTGGTTGAAGTTAGACATTAACACCGTCGGACCCCGGTTCAGTGGTCTAGTGGTAAAGTGCTCGCGCGCGAAGCCAGTAGGTCCTGGGTTCGAGCCTCGCGTGGTGCGGGATCGTGGATGCGCACTGCTGAGGAGTCCCATACCAGGACGAAACGGCCGTCCAGTGCTCCCAGGTTTTCAATGGTGGTCTAGCTTCAACTGGCTCATGATTTCAACCTGTTTAATTTATTATTATTAATATATTAGAAGCGGTATATTATTTATCTTGAACGAAGAAGCAGGAACCTACAGTATGCGTAAAAGCATAGAAAACTACGTGAAATAGGTGACAATAGTAAATATGATAATGGTCGACTAGTCACTCATTTATATACAACATAAAACCTGAAACATGTATACATTGGGTCAAACTGTCAAATATAATTAGCAAAGGAAAATGAAATTTTTAGAATAAATCCCAGAGTATTTGTAGTAATAGTTTTATTGGCAATAGGGAAGATTAGCCATTGAAGATATGATTTGAAAGGTAAATGTGAACTACTGAAATAAAAGGGATTTCCATAAGATAGTTTAGGAACTTGGAATACAAGGGAAGATAAAGTGAATGAACCAGGGTCACTGGGAAAGATTCTGAGCCACGTCACTTAAAGTCCGTGACCATTGTTTATGATAACCGCACAACATCAATCACGCATTACTCACCTAATTACATGATTCAATCCCAAAGTTACTGGCCTCATCCTTGATGCCACATTTCGCTTTGTTTGCTCCTAGCTTCCTTTCAGCGCACTATACCCACACCCACTGCTATATTGCCTGTCGAAGTAGGCACTGGTTGGACATACAAAACACATGTTCTGACCACCCCAGTTAACGCAGTTTCACTACTCCGTCAGTCGATTCGCAATCTTGATGAAGCTAAATAACAAGTTTAATATGTCCATTGTTTTCAATTATTATCACTCTTTCTTCTCTTTAGCTTTTCCTCTCCACAGATACTCCAATAATTGTGAAGACACCTTTCTGTTTATGCTTAAGTTAATTTCCGACTCCATAGTATTCTTAACTGTACATGACAAGTTTTCGAACATCTATCTATTTATTAAGCGCTTTTTCGCTATGAGCTAAACCATAGGTAGTCTCCTTGCTGTGGCTTTTGTGAGTTAAATATGACCCAAACAAACATACACTTCCACCAGAACATGATCAGTTTGAAACATATTTTCCAGAGTAAGGGAAAGTCCTTCATCGAATCTCTTCATTAATGTCTGATAGTGACATTTAATATTTGCTTCCGTCTTTAAGTCAGTTGTGGTTAACTATGTTGGACGATGTTTCTGTAAATCCTTAAAGTTGGTGTTTGGCATGAATAAACGCTATTTTGAGTATGGTTGCAATAGACAGTCGTAGTGCAAACAGAGATTAAGTCACACACATTTTATCCCTTTTCGAATTTATTATTTAGTTTTCTTGAATTGTTGTAGATAAAGGCCTTTTTAAAGAAAATATCGGTCAAGTTGCTAAATATCAACTCTACCACCTGAGAGATAACTTAGATTTATTCCGTCATGTGATTGCATTAATAAGTTAGCTTTATACTTAGTAGTACAT